TACGCCGCTAGTCTTGTTGCTGAGTCTGGGTCTGACTGTCCTCCGTCCGTCGGGGGTGAGTGTGCTCTTGGTACGGACGTCCTTCAGGACAGGCAGGAGGACTTTGAGTGCCTTGCAGCTGCTGTACCTCATCTCGTGGCCATGCTGCTTGCACCTGAGGGAGACCCAGATGCACTAGACATCCCGACCCCGTGCTCTTACGCAGTGGTGATTACGGGTCCCTACTCCTCTCAGTGGCTGACAGACATGGACGCAGAAATGGCATCCTGGAAGTCCACAGGAACCTACGCCGACGCAGTTCCCCCTCCTCGGGCGAACATAGTCGATGGCATGTGGATTTTTAGGGTGAAGCGGCCGCCGGGTTCTCCGCCTGTCTTCAAGGCTCGTTACGTTGCACGAGGCTTCAGTCAGCGACAGGGAGTTGACTTCTTCCAGACCTTCTCCCCTACCCCGAATGTGACCACTCTTCGGGTGCTGCTACACATCACCGCTCAGCGTGACTACGAGCTTCACTCTCTTGACTTCAGCACAGCTTTCTTACAGGGCAGCCTGCACGAGGAGATCTGGCTGCGCCGCCCAACAAGCTTCCTTGGGTCGTTTCCTGCAGGTACCCAGTGGAGCCTCTGGCGGCCAGTCACCTCACGAGTGGCACGACACACTGAGGATGAGGCTTGCGGCTCTTGGGTTTGCTCCTTCGACTGCTGACCCGTCGCTGTTTTAGCACATCGACACTTCGCTGCCGCCATTCTACATCCTCGTGTACGTCGGCGACTTGGTTTTTGCCACTGCTAACACTGAGGCACTAGCCCTTGTGAAGTCGGAGCTACAGACGAGACACACCTGCACTGACCTGGGTGAGCTGCGCAGCTATCTTGGCTTGCAGATCACCCGGGACAGAGCACGGCGCACCATCACCTTGACTCAGTCACACATGGTGCACCAGGTCCTATAGCGCTTCAGCTTCTGGTACTCCTCGCCACAGTCCACTCCTCTGCCTACCGGTCACTCGCTCTCAGCTCCACCTTCGGACGAGTCCGTGAAGCCGAGTGGCCCGTATCCAGCGCTTGTGGGCTGCCTCATGTATCTGATGACATGCACTCGACCAGACCTTGCCTACCCTCTTAGCATCCTGGCACGCTACGTTGCGCCCAGGAAACAACGACCAGAGCACTGGAAGGCCGCAAAGAGGGTGTTGCGCTACTTGTGCAGTACATCGGGCATGGGGCTCGTGCTTGGAGGACGGGGTCCAGTTGTCCTCACTGGACACGCAGACGCGTCTTGGGTTGATGACTTGGCTACGCAGCGGTCGTCACAGGGTTACACCTTCAGCCTTGGCTCCGGCTCTGTTTCTTGGCGGTCTACCCGCTCGTCGTCTGTTCTTAGTTCCAGTTGTGAGGCTGAGATCTACGCAGGGGCCATGGCTGCACAGGAGTTACGCTGGCTCACCTACCTGCTGACCGACTTGGAGAGCGATCTCGTTCTTCTCCAGTTCTGTACGTAGACAACGAGGCCATGATTGCCTTGTGTTAGGAGCACAGACTGGAGCACAGGACGAAGCACATCACTCTACGTTACTTCCTTGCTCGAGAGTTGCAGCAGCGTGGTCAGCTTCGTCTTGCTTACGTGGCCACTCGGGCCAACACTGCTGATATATTCACCAAGGCACTTCAGCCTGGTGATCATCAGCGTTCCTGTACTGTTTTAGACCTTGTGCCTACTTTGCCTCACTTAATCACTGCGTGACTCTGCTTGTACTGTGATCTATATATATACCTGCATGCTTACACTTGCTAGGGTATGATCACTGTACTGTTTGTACTGTTCTATATAACTCAGCACGTGAATTGGCCTTGTGGCCATTTGCTTGTGCTCGGAATGTGTGGTGACTTCGTGATCCACCTTGGGCTTGGTTTGCTTTTCTTGACTGATCTTGTGACCACTTGTTCTCCCCCACTTTGCCTATAGGGGTGTGTCAAAATGTTATAATGCTTATATTGTGTAGGCTGTAGTGGGGTAGCCCATAAGGGGTACAACCCATTTAGGGTTAGTGCTTGTACGAACTTTCTGCTCAATGCATTGATTCTTGTTCAGTTTCTTGACAGTACCGTCATGTCGTCGATCGCCTGCCCACAAGAACACCGACCTGCGAGGGCTAGTTGGGGGATAGGGAGGCCAAGACGGAAAGCTGAGGCCACCTGCCACTGCGCCTATGGGATGCGCAGCGAGTCTGCGTAGGGCACCGCCGTCAACCACGCGCCTGCACCTGCGCACTAAAGGGATGTCAAACGGGCAAGGTGCAAGGGGTTAGTGTGACGGGCCCGGACTGACTCCAAGGCCTGTGTCGAGAGTAAAGGGAAAAGGTCGATCGACTATCGAGAGCAGTCTTGGCTCCGGTTCTGTCTCTTGGCGGTCTACCCGCTCTTCTTCTGTTCTCAGCTCCAGTTGTGAGGCTGAGATCTACGCTGGGGCCATGGCTGCACAGGAGCTACGCTGGCTCACCTACCTGCTGACCGACTTGGGAGAGGCGCCTCGTTCTCCTCCGTTTCTGTACGTCGACAACAAGGCCATGCTGGCCTTGTGTCAGGAGCACAGACTGGAGCACAGAACGAAGCACATTGCTCTGTGCTACTTCCTTGCTCGAGAGTTGTAGCAGCGTGGCCAGCTTCGTCTTGCTTACGTGGCCTCTCAGGCCAACACTGCTGATGTTTTCACCAAGGCACTTCAGCCTTGTGATCATCAGCGTTTCTGTACTGTGTTAGGCCTTGTACCTACTGTGCCTCACTTGCTTTCTTCTTGACTCTGTTTGTACTGTACTCTTTATACATATACCTGCATGCTTACACTTGCTAGGTTGTGTTCACTGTATTGTTTGTTCTCCTTTATATAACTCTGCATGTGAACTGGCCTTGTGGCCATTTGCTTGTGCTCAGAGTGTGTGGTGACTTTGTGATCCACCCTGAGCTTGCTTTGCCTTTCTTGACTGGTCTTGTGACCTCTTGTTCTCCCCCACTTTGCCTATGGGGGTGTGTCAAACTTATATGCTATAGTCTGTTTAGGCTGTAGTGGGGTAGTCCTTACAGGGTACAACACTTTTAGGTTTCCTATATGGACCCACCTGCTTTCTAGTTCAGTCATCCATTCGCTCACATTCTAACACCGTTCGCAGCTGATCTATCAGTTCGTCGGCGTGGGGAATGGGGTGTCGCGATTTGACTGTAATCCTGTTCAGCGCCCTGTAATCGATGCACATGCAAAAACCTCCATCTTTTTTTGGTGTGAACAGTATTGGTGCGGCAAACGGCGACGAGCTCGGTCGGATGAATTTTTTCTCTAATAGGTAATCTAACTGCTTCCTCAGTTCGTCGAGCTCGGGCTGTGTCGGTCTGAACTGTCGCTGTACGGTTGGCTGTGCCCCGGATTCTAACTCTATCCGATGGTCGTGTGCCCGCTGAGGTGGCAGTCCCTCCGGTAAGTCGTCGGGAAAAATCCCGGGTACCGTTTTAACAATTTATGTAGTTCGGGTGGTACTGGCGTCAGCAGTTTCTGAAAATCGCTCGGGTGCTCAGCTTCTTCCACCACTGCAATATCCACCGCGTACACGTTGGCTCCAGCGGCGACAACCCGTTTCATTGTGATGGCGTTGACGTGGACCGTTTAAGACTCAGGTGACTGCCAGCAAGGTAGTTCAATCCAGTTACCGCTACTTCGCACAGTGCAGCTACCCGTCGTCCAGTCGATTCGCGGGTTGTATCGTCGCAGCCAATCACGTCCCAGTAAGACATCGTGCCCATCCAATGTCATCGCGAGCATTTCCTGTCTAAACCCGAAGTCCCCCCCCGCAGCGGACTTTTACTCTCTCCACCTTATCCCGTATGGCCAGTGGCGTTCCATCAACTAAGCGTGCATCTATCTCCGGTAAACACCGACTAAGTGCCAGTTGCAGCTTCCGTGCAGTCACGGTATTAACTACTGCTTTTCCCTCCGTTTATGAAAATCTTCATTAACTACTCTGTGACTTGCGCCTCCGTTTATGAAAATCTTCACTACTGCTCCTTGTATTTTCCCGTGGATCAGTACTGGGCAATCCGTTGTTGTACCCTCCTTATTCATCCGAGCCCGATCGATTGCGTGAATCGGTACTGTGACTCAGGGAGTGTCGGTGAGGTTGGGCGAGCAGGCAGTCTCGTTAGTAGTTGGCCCGAATTCTACTGACCGCTGGCGTTTCCCTGCCTCTGAGACTCCTGCCTCTGCTCTGTTCCCTGGTGCCTCAGCTCCTCTGGGCATTCGCTCTTGCGATGGCCCGGCCGATTCCAAGCAAAGCAGCGCCCCTTAAAGGGTGCGGCAGCTGTTGAAATGAGCTCATAGGCTAGGGAGCCATGGCTAGGGTGTAAGCTAGGCAATTGTCGAGAGTGAAAAGTGAGAAGGGAAAATATGATTCACTAAGAGAAGAAAATACAAGATATATGAGCGAGAGATGGCAAAGGGTGCACCACATACAGGAACTATAACAGTAACTACACTACAGCTATAACTATATGCAGTTATACAGCAATATATATAAAATATATTCTGACACACCCCCTAACTGCATGCAGGAATAGCCATGTGCAGAACACCCCCTGAAGGGGTACACCCTGCGCAGCGGAAGAAGGAGAGGGCAAATGAGGAGGCGGCTGATGCTGCAGCTGGACTCACAGCACCCCCTCAACCTCCCCCCGCACAGCAGTAGCAACAGTAGTGAGGAGAGAGAGGAGGAGGCGTGGCGGCAGTTGCTGCAGCTGTGTCACCCACCACCCACATCCCCTGAGCCTCCCCACCACTTCACACTCCCCCCCACAGCAGTAGGTGCGGCTGTGAGAGAGAGGAGCCAGGTTGGCTCTGTAGGTGCAACCTCCCCCTCACACCCTCCCCTCCCCTCCCCCCACTGCGACACCCGCACCAGGGGAATGGAGGAGAAGGGGGGGGGGGGGGGGGGGGGGAGGGCGGGGTAGGGGCTGTGCATGGCATGTGCAGAGGGCAGCAGGGCGCACGGGGCGCACAGGGCAGCAGGGCAGCAGGGCGCACAGGGCAGCAGGGCAGCAGGGCGCACAGGGCTGCAGGGCAGCAGGGCGCGCGGGGCGAACAGGGCAGCAGGGCGCACAGGGCTGCAGGGCAGCAGGGCGCACAGGGCTGCAGGGCAGCAGGGCGCGCGGGGCGCGCAGGGCAGTAGGACAGCAGGGCGCGCGGGGCGCGCAGGGCTGCAGGGCAGCAGGGCGCGCGGGGCGAACAGGGCAGCAGGGCGCACAGGGCTGCAGGGCAGCAGGGCGCGCGGGGCGCGCAGGGCTGCAGTGCGCGCAGGGCGCGCAGGGCAGCAGGACAGCAGGGCGCGCAGGGCGCGCAGGGATGCAGGGCGCGCGGGGCGCACAGGGCAGCAGGGCAGCAGGGCGCGCGGGGCGCATCAGGGCTGCAGGGCGCGCGGGGCGCACAGGGCAGCAGGGCAGCAAGGCGCACAGGGCTGCAGGGCAGCAGGGCGCGCGGGGCGCGCAGGGCTGCAGGGCGCGCAGGGCGCGCAGGGCAGCAAGACAGCAGGGCACACAGGGCGCGCAAGGCTGCAGGGCGTGCGGGGCGCACAGGGCAGCAGGGCAGCAGGGCGCGCGAGGCGCAGCAGGGCTGCAGGGCGCGCGGGGCACACAGGGCAGCAGGGCAGCAGGGCAGCAGGGCGCACAGGGCTGCAGGGCAGCAGGGCGCACAGGGCTGCAGGGCAGCAGGGCGCACGGGGCGCACAGGGCTGCAGATCCTCTCCCCCCAACTGCTGCACCCGCAGCAGGAGGATGGAGGAGAAGGGAGGGGGGGGGGGGGGGGGGGTGTGGGTGCTGCAGATCCCCTCCTGCCACCCGCTGAACCTCCAAGCTCCCCCATACTCTCCCCCCACAGCAGCAGGCGCAGCCGTGAGAGGGGGGAGGGGGGGGGGGGGGGAGGGGGGGCTGGTGCTGCAGATCCCCTCCCCCCAGGGATGGAGGAGAAAGGGGGGGGGAGGGGGGCGAGGGGGGCTGGTGCTGCAGATCCCCTCCTGCCACCCCCTTAACCTCCAAGCTCCCTGCCCCCCTCCCAACACAAGGTGCGGCAGGGAGAGAGAGGGGAGAAGGGGGGGCGGGGAGGGCTGATGCTGCAGATCCCCTCCCCCCCACTGCTGCTCCACAATCCTTCACCCGCCAGGGATGGAGGAGAAAGGGGGGGCGGGGGGGGCTGGTGCTGCAGATCCCCTCCTGCCTCCCCCTGGACCTCCAAGCTCCCCCCCCCCTCCCAACACAGGGTGCGGCAGGGAGAGAGAGAGGAGGAGGCGTGGCGGCAGCTGCTGCTGCTGAGGCACATCCGCCACCCCCTCACACCCTCTCCCTCCCGTCCCCATGGAGGGGGGGGATGGGGGCGGGGGCAGAGCTGCGCGTGTGATTGCAAGGCGCGCGGGCAGGAAGAAACCGTCACCCCTCTTGCCACCCCCTTTCCCTCCATGATGCGATGGGGCACCGGGGCCGCGGCTAGGGGCGACAGGTCGCGAGGGGCCGAGGCTAGAGGCGACGGGGCCGCGCTTAGGGGCGGCAGGTCGCGAGGGGCCGTAGCTAGGGCGACGGGTCGACGAGGGCCGCGGCTAGGGGCGATGGGGCCAAGGGGCCGAGGCGACGGGGCGATGGGCCTAGGGTCGCGAGGGGCCGCAGTTGGGGGCGACGGGGCCTGTGGGGCCGCGGCTAGGGGTGACGGGGCCAAGGGGCCGAAGCGACGGGGCGACGGGCCTAGGGTCGCGAGGGGCCGCAGTTGGGGGCGACGGGGCCTAGGGGCCGCGGCTAGGGGCGACGGGGCCAAGGGGCCGAGGCGAAGGGGCCTAGGGTCGCGAGGGGCCGTAGCTGGGGACGACGGGGCCTAGGGGCCGCGACTAGGGGTGACGGGGCCAAGGGGCCGAGGCGACGGGGCGACGGGCCTAGGGTCGCGAGGGGCCGAGACGACGGGGCCTAGGGGCCGCGGCTAGGGGCGACGGGGCCAAGGGGCCGAAGCGACGGGGCCTAGGGGGCCGCGGCTAGGGGCGACGGGGCCAAGGGGCCGAGCCTAGGGGCTAGGGGCGACGCCAAGGGGCGACGGGTTGGGGCCCAGGCTAGCAGGGCAGTAGGTGGTGGGCCCATGAATATTAGGTCCTAGAAACGGCCTACTCTGATAGCATGTTGAAATGAGCTCATAGGCTAGGGAGCCATGGCTAGGGTGTAAGCTAGGCAATTGTCGAGAGTGAAAAGTGAGAAGGGAAAAGATTATTCACTAAGAGAAGAAAGTACAAGATATAGGAGCGAGAGATGGCAAAGGGTGCACCACATACAAGAACTATAACAGTAACTACACTACAGCTATAACTATATGCAGTTATACAGCAATATATATAAAATATATTCTGACAGCAGCTGCATTCGTCGCAACGGCGTGTACGGTGGCGTGCTCGATTGGTCCCCGAGGACGATGTCCGTAGTAGGACCCCGGTCTCGGACGGCGCAGGATGTCGATTTTCTCGGCGAGCGCGAGGATCTCGTTAAAATTCGAGAGCCCGCGTAGCATGATTTCGTGCGAGATGTCTGGCTTCAGCCCTCCGACGTAATGGTCCACCCGCTCCGCTTCGTGCATATAGCCGACTTGCTCGCATAATGCGAGAAAACCGCTGTGTAGTCTTGAACCGATCCGAGCTGCCGCCAAGTACGCAGTCTCTGACGCGCCGAAATAGAAGCCGCGATCGGCTCGAAACGCGCCCGAAGCCCTGCGCACCACGCATCCCACGTGCTGTACTGGGTTGTCTCGCAAAATGAACTCCAGGTGGCAGCTGGGCCCATGGGCTCTTCCTCTTGCGACGGTGGCTCGTAGGCACGTGGCGACGTCACGATGACTCGCCACCAGTCCATGGCGGGGCCCCTCAGTGTCAGAATCCCAACCACTAGACCATTGGAATAAAATGATTTTTTAAGTAGCGGGTCAGTGCGCCCATAACCCCCCAGGACAACGAGCCTGTAACCCTTCCCTAGGATCAATCGGGGATCACCACTGGACCTCTGACACCCTCCCGCACTGGGATGCCCGAAGTGCACACACTAGGATTCTAACCCGAGACCTTCGCTCTGATACCATGTCAGAATCCCAACCAATAGACCATTGGGATAAAAGGGCTTGTTAAGTAGCGGGTCAGTGCGCCCATAACCCCCCAGGACAACGAGCCTGTAACCCTTCCCTAGGATCAATCGGGGATCACCAGTGGACCTCTGACACCCCCCCGCACTGGGATGCCCGAAGTGTACACACTGGGATTCGAACTCGAGACCTTCGCTTTGATACCATGTCAGAATCCCAACCACTAGACCATTGGGACAAAAGGGCTTGTTAAGTAGCGGGCCAGTGCGCCCATAACCCCCCAGGCTAGCGAGCCTGTAACCCTTATCTAGGATCAATCGGGGATCACCAGTAGACCTCTGACACTCAGCAGCGAAACGGCGTAGCGAATCTTCGCTGCTTCCGACTCGACGTAGTTCGCGTCGAAAAACGCATTCATCGTGAAGACCCACGATTGAACCGTCGGACCTCCTCGTTGCTTGGATCGAAACAGGGCGGTCGCTGTGGCTTGAGTGGCATTGGTGCCATGATGTCGTGGTTGCCGCTTGTTGCTGCAAATTCCACGTGGCGACGAGCTTCACGATGCTCACGTGGGCTTGGTGCGGCCCTACTTCTCTCCATGCCAGGCATTGAATGAGTGGCGTCATCGTTGGCTACGCCTGAGCGTTGTCCCACGCTGTTGTTCTGTGTCGGTGTGCCTGAGGAGACGGTGATCGGCTCCTCCGATTGTGCAGGTGCATTTGTTGGTGCTGGTGCGTTCATGATTAATTGCTGGCGAGTGGAATCGCGTTCCGCTGTGAGCGTAGCGATTTCGAGGGCCGAATCTTCGAGTTGACGCACGAGACGGTCGAGTTACTCTTGCGTGAGTGTCGCGAGATTAATGCCGGCCATGGTGGAGGTATCGGGCAAGCTCGACGAGAGCCTCTGTTGTGGCTGTGCGTGCTTACGGGAGAGCACTTCGAGCGGCGGTGCTTGGTCGCTGAGAGACGTCTACCCCCCCCCAAAATTTGAGATAGTGGGGAAGCGAAGGTGTAGGTGCGGTCTGAGAGAAGATCGTAGGCTCTGATAACCAAGTGTTACGTTGTCAGAATCCCAACCACTAGACCATTTGGATAAAAGGGCTTGTTAAGTAGCGGGTCAGTGCGCCCATAACCCCCCAGGACAACGAGCCTGTAACCCTTCCCTAGGATCAATCGGGGATCACCAGTGGACCTCTGACACCCCCCCGCACTGGGATGCCCGAAGTGCACACACTGGGATTCGAACCCGAGAGCGCACCCCCGCACTGGGATGCCCGAAGTGCACACACTGGGATTCGAACCCGAGACATTCGCTCTCATACCATGTCAGAATCCCAACCACTAGACCATTGGGATAAAAGGGCTTGTTAAGTAGCGGGTCAGTGCGCCCATAACCCCCCAGGACAATGAGCCTGTAACCCTTCCCTAGGATCAATCGGGGATCACCAGTGGACCTCTGACATACGTGTGCAATTGAGTGATCGAGCGAGGATTGCACTATCGAGACAAGAATACAATGAGTGAAGGATTGAGCGAAGAATATATAGCGAAGCTACAGTGGTAACGGTAACGTGGAAAATGGGGTGCACGACGGGCCTTGTGCCAAGGTTGGGAATTGTCGAGGCGGAGGTCCGGGGCGCGGGTTACCAACCGAGCCGTAAGGTTGGGTTGTGTCGTGAACAGTGGCGGGAATAGTGGCGAGGCGAATGTCGCGAGTGGTAACGGGTTATTGTTGGATGCTGTTGGCGGGAAACAGTGTTGTACGCGCTGAGCAGGGACGCGAAGTAAGGAAAAGGAATTTTCCTTACAACTATCCTATTTGTACCCATCTCCTTCTTGTCTATATGACTTCCCTTCCTTTGCTCTAACCCTGAGAGTGTTTTCCCTGGATCAGGGCTTGTGGCATGTCTTTCCAGGCCTTGGAGATCCACTTGAGAGTTTGTTCAAGTGGATGCTTCTTTATGTTGCCTGCAAATCCAACACATTAGTGTTTGACAAAATTCAACACATTAGCTCTATTTTGGGACATTGGCTCTCCTTTCTGGTGAGAGATTAGATGCCCTCTGCTCGAAACACTCCTATCACTCGGCTCTGGAGTAGTAGGATTTTCACTACACACATTTCGCACACGCCACTTCAACTCTCCCCACGCTAGGTGTTCCTAGAGCCACAACATGTCAGAAGACTTCCCTCGATCGCAATCCGCATCTCTCTTTCCCCATCCCCACCCCAACCACAGACATCCATTTTTCCCTATGTGTTGCCCCACTCACGAAGAAGCACATGAGTAAAAGAACCCAAATGCAACACACATAGAACCCCCCCTCAAGATACCCAATCAAAACGCCGAGTCAAGACACCCCATCAAGACATCCCATCCCACACCCCACCCCCCCCCCCCCCCCCCCCCCCCCCCCCCCCCCCCCCCCCCCCCCCCCCCCCCCCCCCCCCCCCCCCCTTCAATCACAACAGCGTATCGACCATGTACGGGGCCTCTACCCAGAGAGCCCCGCCTTCCACATCGACATCGTCCCTCTCCCGGTCCACCAAATCTACGTTAATCCCCCCCATGGAAGACGCCGCTCGAAGCAGGATGACACGGGCTTGCGCACGTTATAACGCCACCCCGATGAGCGCCTTCAGTGACCCTAAAAGATAAGCCGAAAACACAGAGTCGCCCTCTCGACAAGCCCCCCGCGACGCAGCTAGCCCCACGTGCGCATCCCCCTGCTGACGAAGCCACCGCTGAAAACGACCGCCGAGACACCCCCACGTCTCAACTATCAAAGGGGTGAACTGCACGCCCCGGTTGCGTGCAAGCAGAGGCGCGTAATCACTCGTTTTGCGACGCTCCCACTCCCTTGCCGCCACACCTATTTGACGCTCGCACTGTCCCAGCAGTGATGGAGACAGCGATAGCGGGTCCGCGACGCTGATCTCTAGGGCGTGAGCCTCTCCAGCCATTGGTCGTCGCACCGCCACATCAACCCGCTTCCCCTGCAGCACCACACTATCCTCCATTGTCACCACCCCCCCCGACGCCTTAGAGATCTTCGCCACCGCAAACTTCACCTCATCATGCACCCGAGATGGACCATGCTGGTGCTTGCATCTCAGGGCATGGTGCGGGTCTGCTGGGTCAACATACGCTGTGCCACAAACACACCTCCCCGCCACCTGCAGCTGCTGAATTGGGAAGCCAAGCCGTATAGCAGCAGCGATGCCCCACTCAGCCGCAGTGAATGTGAGATCTGAGTGAGCCGGAACCGCCGAAACCCATGCACCCGCCCCCGGGCCCTGAAGGGATGTGAAACGGGCCAAGGTAGCATCGTCACGAGCCAAGCGGCGTAGTGTCTAGAGCTCCTCTACAGCTAACTGCCGCTGCCGCGCCTGGAAAAGCCGAACAGGAGGGGCCGCAACACACAGAGGTAAGCCCGGTATCTCGTGGCGGATAGTCGCTGGCAGCTGCTCAAGAGCCTTGACAAACCACGGGTCAAGAAACTCTGCCCCTGTCGAAGTGGTGAGGTACTCTGCAAACATCGCCTCCTCACCCGCCACCCCTAACTGTGCAATGTCACGCGCGGCCTGCGCCCACCCACAAACATAGGACAGTGGGCTCAAAGAGGCCGCCGCCCGGATCCCGAACCCTCCGAGTCGCACAGGGAGATGCAGCTGCATGCGTGCGCGCCTAGACCGGTCGGGGTCCTGCTCCCAAGTGCCAGGTGGGAAAAGCTGCTCAAAGCAATCCTCTAAACAGCTGTCCCAATCCCTAAAAGCCTCAACCACCTCCGGACGCGGCGGCATAGTCCGGGCGAGGTACATCGGCCGCGCTGAAACTGCAATGGCGAGGAGGTGTGAAGCCATCTGAGGGTGGTCGAGCAACTGGAACCATGGCAGTGGCGCCTGCAACTGTCGAAGCCGCTCCCGTAGCCGGACCACCTCCCAAACCTCCTCCCCAATAGGCACGCCCACCACAGTAAGACCCTCATCCACCCGCTGCATCCCCAATGGCAGTGCCCGCTCCACCTCCTTGCCCTCGCGCTCCCAAAACCGGCACTTGTGTGCCTGCACCTCCAGCCCCACCCACTCCAACCGCTCCCGCAGCACCCCAAAAGCCTCCAGAATCCTAGCCGCTGGCCCCAAAATATAGGTATCGTCTGCATAGCTGAGGAAAAGCAGGTCCTTGAACTCCCTAGTAACCGGCTCCATCACCTGCTGCTGCGTGAACGCGAAAAGAAAAGGGCCGAGCGGGTCCCCCTGCCTCGATCCCCGTGCTGACTCGAGGCTCTGTACGAAAGGGCCTGCTCGGAGGTACAGGTCGCTAGGTGTCCCATAAAAAACACGCAAGAATGGGATCATCCCTGAGAAAGGCGACTCCCGCAGCCCATCAAACATCACATGACGGTGAAACGAGTTGAAGGCGTTTGCGACGTCAATCTGTAGCGCGCACCAGTCGGGGTGAGTGGCCAGCGCTGACCGAAAAGAATGAGTGAGAATCTCCGCCCCGACCCTGGTGCCCGCTCCCAGCTGGTTGCACGGCAGGAAGTAGGAAACCATCGCAGGGCAGAGCGAGATGCAGAGAGCTCGAGCAAGGATACGAGGAAGCACCTCCCCGATCGCCACCGGCCGGACGTCGCCGTTAGGCTTGGAAAGCCCGACTAGGTTGGATGCGGCGAGCCACGGCCGAGCCCGCTCGGGGACCTGTCCCGCCACCCATTGGTTGAACACTTCCAGCAAGTGGGAAAGGCAGGAAGGTTCAGTGAGGAAGGTGTCGCGCAGATGCTCTGTGACCCACCCCGATGGCCCTGCTGCTGAAGCTCGAGCGGCTGTATGGATAGCTCTGGCCAGGATGTCGGTCGTGAGTGAAGGCCGCTGAGCAGTATCGATGGTGAAATCGCGGACCCACTGTGGTACCTCGCCAGCGCTAGCCGGGTGCTTCTCTCGCAGCGACTGCACCATGGCCTCAGACGGTCGAGCCAACTCCCCTGCTGTAAGGCAGGCCAATCCTCGGCTCCACTCCCCCACTTTGCACCGAGATCGGCACCGTGACAGGCGGATGGCATCCGGGTCCTGGTCAGAGCAAGTGTAGGAAAGTGGGCGAACTGCTGGCCGCGCCGCCACCATGGCAGAGTCGAACAGCTCCCGCCACCTCCCCTCCCATAACGCACCCAACCGCTCTGTGATCAGCGCCTTCTGACCTATGCCTGGCTTGGGAGGCACGGCTAGGATAAGGCGCGGAAACGCCAAGAGTAGGAGGGTAGCGGCTTCATCTCCAGGCTGGCTCTTCAAGCGCTTAAGGATGCAACAGAGCGTGTCTAAGACCCCCGACCTGGCCCGCTGTGGGATCCGGCGCACTGTCCTCCCTCCAACCGCCTCCACACTGAAAAAAGTTTCCCATTCCCATGACGTAACCCCAGCCCACGCCTCGTCCCCAAATTGCCGCGGCGTCGATCGCTCCTGCGTGTCGGTCTCCACCAGAGACGGAATCGAGCCGAGAGCCTGTGCACGCCTCTCCGCCTCAGCCGCCCGGCATACCCTCATGTGGTTCGCAGCAGCCCCTCGCGTAGCGAAAGTGTGGAAACACGTGTCACACGGAAAGCGGGGGCATGGGGAAGGCGGCATGGGAGGTTCTTCGTCCGCCTCTGACTCCTCCGCAGTCGCCATGGGGGTATCAAACTCCAAAAGTCGACACCACTCCTCCAACTGTTGCTCCTGGTCGTCCATCGATCGCCCCCCTGCTTGCTGCGCTCCTTGGGGTGCCCAGGGCACCCTCGGCTTCCCCTCTGGCTGCTGCGCTCCCTGGGGTGCCCCGGTCACCCCCGGCTGCCCCCCTGCCTGCTGCTCTCCCTGGGGTGCTCCGGGCACCCTCGGCTGCCCTCCTGCCTGCTGCACTCCCTGCCCTCCTGCCTGCTGCACTCCCTGGGGTTCCCCGGGCACCATCGGCTGCCCTCCTGCCTGCTGCACTCCCTGGGGTGCTCCGGTCACCCCCGGCTGCTCCCCTGCCTGCTGCTCGCCCTGGGGTGCTCGGGTCACCCCCGGCTGCCCCCCTAGCTGCTGCTCTCCCTGGGGTGCTCCGGTCACCCCCGGCTGCCCCCCTGCCTGCTGCTCTCCCTGGGGTGCTCCGGGCACCCTCGGCCGCCCTCCTGCCTGCTGCACTCCCTGCCCTCCTGCCTGCTGCACTCCCTGGGGTTCCCCGGGCACCATCGGCTGCCCTCCTGCCTGCTGCACTCCCTGGGGTGCCACGGGCAACCTCGGCTGCCCTCCTGCCTGCTGCATTCCCTCGGGTGCTCCGGGCACCCCCGGCTGCCCCCCTGCCTGCTGCACTCCCTGGGGTGCCCCGGGCACCCTCGGTTGCCCTCCTGCCTGCTGCACTCCCTGGGGTGCCCCGGGCACCCTCGGCTGCCCTCCTGCCTGCTGCACTCCCTGGGGTGTTCCGGGCACCCCCGTCTCCCCACCTGCCTGCTGCACTCCCTGGGGTGCCCCGGGCACCCTCGGCAGCCCTCCTGCCTGCTGCACTCCCTGGGGTGCCCCGGGCACCCCCGGCTGCCCCCCTGCCTGTTGCACTCCCTGGGGTGCCCCGGGCACCCTCGGCTGCCCTCCTGCCTGCTGCACTCCCTGGGGTGCCCCGGGCACCCTCGGCTGCCCTCCTGCCTGCTGCACTCCATGGGGTGCTCCGGGCACCCTCGGCTGCCCTCCTGCCTGCTGCACTCCCTGGGGTGCTCCGGGCACCCCCGGCTGCCCCCCTGCCTGCTGCACTCCCTGGGGTGCCCCGGGCACCCTCGGTTGCCCTCCTGCCTGCTGCACTCCCTGGGGTGCCCCGGGCACCCTCGGCTGCCCTCCTGCCTGCTGCACTCCCTGGGGTGTTCCGGGCACCCCCGTCTCCCCACCTGCCTGCTGCACTCCCTGGGGTGCCCCGGGCACCCCCGGCTGCCCCCCTGCCTGCTGCGCTCCCTGGGGTGCTCCGGGCACCCTCGGCTGCCCTCCAGCCTGCTGCACTCCCTGGGGTGCCCCGGGCGCCCTCGGCTGCCCTCCTGCCTGCTGCACTCCCTGGGGTGCCCCGGGCACCCCCGGCTGCCCCCCTGCCTGTTGCACTCCCTGGGGTGCTCCGGGCACCCTCGGCTGCCCTCCTGCCTGCTGCACTCCCTGGGGTGCCACGGGCAACCTCGGCTGCCCTCCTGCCTGCTGCATTCCCTCGGGTGCTCCGGGCACCCCCGGCTCCCCACCTGCCTGCTGCACTCCCTGGGGTGCCCCAGGCATCTTCGGCTGCCCTCCTGCCTGCTGCACTCCCTGGGGTGCCCCGGGCACCCTCGGCTGCCCTCCTGCCTGCTGCACTCCCTGGGGTGTTCCGGGCACCCCCGTCTCCCCACCTGCCTGCTGCACTCCCTGGGGTGCCCTGGGCACCCTCGGCAGCCCTCCTGCCTGCTGCACTCCCTGGGGTGCCCCGGGCACCCTCGGCTGCCCTCCTGCCTGCTGCACTCCCTGGGGTGCTCCAGGCACCCTCGGCTGCCCTCCTGCCTGCTGCACTCCCTGGGGTGCCCCGGGCACCCCCTGCTGCCCTCCTGCCTGCTGCACTCCCTGGGGTGCCCTGGGCACCCTCGGCTGCCCCCCTGCCTGCTGCACTCCCTGGGGTGCCCGGGGCACCCTCGGCTGCCCTCCTGCCTGTTGCTCTCCCTGGGGTGCTCCGGTCACCCCCGGCTGCCCCCCTGGCTGCTGCTCTCCTTGGGGCGCCCCGGGCACCCAGGGCTGCCCTCCTGCCTGCTGCACTCCCTGGGGTGCCCCGGGAACCCTCGGCTGCCCTTCTGCCTGCTGCATTCCCTGGGGTGCTCCGGGCACCCCCGGCTCCCCACCTGCCTGCTGCACTCCCTGGGGTGCCCCGGGCACCCTCGGCTGCCCTCCTGCCTGCTGCACTCCCTGGGGTGCCCCGGGCACCCTCGGCTGCCCTCCTGCCTGCTGCACTCCATGGGGTGCTCCGGGCACCCTCGGCTGCCCTCCTGCCTGCTGCACTCCCTGGGGTGCTCCGGGCACCCCCGGCTGCCCCCCTGCCTGCTGCACTCCCTGGGGTGCCCCGGGCACCCTCGGTTGCCCTCCTGCCTGCTGCACTCCCTGGGGTGCCCCGGGCACCCTCGGCTGCCCTCCTGCCTGCTGCACTCCCTGGGGTGTTCCGGGCACCCCCGTCTCCCCACCTGCCTGCTGCACTCCCTGGGGTGCCCCGGGCACCCCCGGCTGCCCCCCTGCCTGCTGCGCTCCCTGGGGTGCTCCGGGCACCCTCGGCTGCCCTCCAGCCTGCTGCACTCCCTGGGGTGCCCCGGGCACCCTCGGCTGCCCTCCTGCCTGCTGCACTCCCTGGGGTGCCCCGGGCACCCCCGGCTGCCCCCCTGCCTGTTGCACTCCCTGGGGTGCTCCGGGCACCCTCGGCTGCCCTCCTGCCTGCTGCACTCCCTGGGGTGCCCCGGGCACCCCCGGCTGCCCCCCTGCCTGTTGCACTCCCTGGGGTGCTCCGGGCACCCTCGGCTGCCCTCCTGCCTGCTGCACTCCCTGGGGTGCCCCGGGCACCCCCTGCTGCCCTCCTGCCTGCTGCACTCCCTGGGGTGCCCTGGGCACCCTCGGCTGCCCCCCTGCGTGCTGCACTCCCTGGGGTGCCCGGGGCACCCTCGGCTGCCCTCCTGCCTGTTGCTCTCCCTGGGGTGCTCCGGTCACCCCCGGCTGCCCCCCTGGCTGCTGCTCTCCTTGGGGCGCCCCAGGCACCCGGGGCTGCCCCCCCACCCGCGGGGCTCCCGGGGGTGTCTCGGTCGCCCCCGGCTGCCCCTCCGCCTGCTGTGCGGCAGCACCGCTTCCAGTCCGCCCTTGCGTCTTACGGGCGTGTCGTCTCCCGCCTCGGCCCCGTGCCCGGGTTCTCTTCGCTTGGCTAGTAGAGTCCGCACTAGCGACCTCCAGCTGCCCCCGCGCCGGCAACTCCCGCCGCTCCCCCTCCGACCGCTCCTGCTGCCCTCCCCCCAACAGCTCCAGCTGCCCTCCTGTTGGCAGCTCCTGCCGCTCTTCCCCCAGCATCTCCTGCTGCCCTCCTGCCTGCAGCCGGGCCTGGTTCCCTGATTGGTCCTGCTGCAGCTCTGGCAGTAGCTCGGCCATCTCCACATCCACCGCTTGCTGCTCCCGCTCCGGCAGCTGCCCCACCCCCTGCGGCTTCTGCTGCTCTTCCCTTGGCAGTTCATGCTGCTCTCCCCTGGGCGGCCCCTGCTGCCCTCCTGCCTGTGGCCAGGCCTGGTTTCCCGATTGGTCCTGCTGTGCCTCTGGCTGTAGCTCGGCCATCTCCACTTCTACCGCTTGCTGCTCCCTTGCTTGCTGCTCCCTTGCCGGCAGCTCGTGCTGCTCTTCCCTTGGCAGCTCATGCTGCTCTCCCCCGGGCGGCTCCTGCTGCCCTCCTGCGTGTGGCCGGGCCCGGTTCCCCGATTGGTCCTGTTGCACCTCTGGCTGTAGCTCGGCCATCTCCACTTCTACCACTTGCTGCCCCTCAGCCGGCAGCTCCTGCTGCCCTCTCGCCGGCACCTCCTGCTGCCCTCTCGCCGGCACCTCCTGCTGCCCTCTCGCCGGCACCTCCTGCTGCCCTCCCGCTGGCGCCTCCTGCTGCCCTCCCGCTGGCACCTCCTGCTGCCCTCCCGCTGGCACCTCCCGCTGCCCTCCTGCCTGCAGCTCCTGCTGCCCTCCCGCCGGCAGCTCCTGCTGCCCTCCCGCCGGCCGCTCCTGCTGCTCTCCCTTCGGCAGTACCTGCTGCTCGCCTGCCGACCGCGCCTGCCGCCCTCTTGCCTGCGGCTCTTGCTGCCCTCTCGCCGGCAGCTCCTGCTCCCCTCTCGCCGGCAGCTCCTGCTCCCCTCTCGCCGGCAGCTCCTGCTCCCCTCTCGCCAGCAGCTGCTGCTCCCCTCTCGCCAGCAGCTCCTGCTGCCCTCCCGCCGGCAGCACCTGCTGCCCCCTTGCTTGTGGCTTCCGGGCCTCCCCCAACAGCCAGTTCTGCTGCCCCCCCTCCTGCCTCGAGGGCTGGGTCCCCGCTGGACTCCACTGCTGCATTTCCGCCCGGGCTCTCCGTCTCTGTTCCTGCCTTTGGGCCAGGCGAGGCCCGCGCAGAGCTGTGAGGGCTGGGCGTGCCAAGGGATTTCCCAGGGCCCTCCGCCGCCTATCATGAGACTCCTGCAGTCGCCGGCGGTGTGCCTCCCATGCAGCCATCGCCGCGTCATCACCAGTACCTTGCCTGTGCACCCCATGACCGCACTCGCCCTCGTCCGTCGCGTCCAGGTCCCAGCTGGAGATGGTGTCGCTGTCGCCTACGAAGCCGCCGATAGTGTCTTCGGGTGGTTCCTCCATCCCCCCCTCTGTCGAGGGGGGTCCATACCTTTGTCGCTTGCTGGGCTTGCCAAAAAGGCAGAGTGCATCCTCGTGGTGGAGGCTACAGAGTTGTGGGTATTGCATACTCAGCGCTGCCTCCCTGGGTCTCTTGTGGCCAATCTTCGCGATGATCTTCCTCCCCCGGTCTGGGGGGTCTGGATCGTTGTTCATGGCGTAAGCTGTTTGCGGGGAGCGCTGGAGGGGCGCCTCCCGCCTTCGATATAAGGTTCGCAGTCCGGGTGAGTCGAAGGTGTTGGGCGTCGCTGGCGCACGGAGACTCCCCTATACGTTGGACGCTCCTACCTGCAGGTGTTGGTACTTAGGTGCGGGTCTCGCTTTGTGGTCCTTCCTACACGCGGTAGTCGCTGCCTAGGCGCGAGCCTCACTGCGATGGCACTCCTACGCGCGAGTATAGCTGCCTGGGCGCTGATCCCTCCGCCGCGGCGCGGATTTCGCTGCTACGGCGTGCACTTCGCTGCCTCGGCGCGCACTTCGCGGCTACGGCGCGCACTTCGCTGCTACGGCGTGGACTTCGCTGCTACGGCGCGGACTTTGCTGCTACGGCGCGGATTTCTGACCGCGACATTGAACGAACGTCCAATGCTAAGCAATTTTCTAATATAAGGGTTAGTCCAATAACAGGGAGGATTGTTCAAAGAGGGCATGAGTTGGCTGTGCTGTGCGTAGCACATGGTCGTGTGCCTTATGTTCATACCCACGGGCAGTTACTCTACCCCAGTTTTATTGAGACCGAGGGCTGTGTAGGACGATTTCATAAGTAATACGAGCAGAGGACATGAGGAGAATCGTAATAAATCTCTGGCCCCAGGGAGTCGGCGGATTGGAAGTTTCGACATCGACATACGATCCATACCCATAAGTTCTGGGTGTATATCTGAAAATAATGCTGATAAGTTTATGAGGGAGCGAAATCGGTATGGGGCCAGGTGTACATCGGCGAGGACCATTGACAGTATGCCACATGGGCACGTGACACAGCTGAAATTCCGAGTGCCTCAGGCCGACGCTGTCAGACGCTGCTTGATCATTTGGAGCTTGTGGTGTGACATTTTGCAGCGGCGACAACGCTGGCCTGAGGAGCGGGGTCTGGGATTTGGATTCTCTACTGTAATTATACACATGATGCCCAGCCCGTGCACTCGAATTTGCCTTGCACCGGATGGAAACGCTGCACCCGAGGTTTTGCCCCCGGGAAGTTGCTCCCACGGTGTAGGCACATGGATGGCATAGCACAGTGGACGGGCTTGGACCAAAACTGAACGTGCATCACAGACCAAACCAGGCTGGCCCAGGTTTGCCTTATTTCTAGGCTAGAGTGGCCACTAATGCCAAGTGTGGCCAACCCACACTGTTACGGAAAAGACAAATAAGCTGGTTACCATTTTTTTTAGAAGCACTTTACAAGTGTAACGAAACCTACGAACACTGGCGAAATGCATGTGTAGCTTATGAGCCCCCTTAACAACGCAACCGGGAGTGGCTCAAACGGGCATCATGTGTACCAGACCACGCCACGTTACGTCAAGAAACGCACGACGACAAGAAGTGCATCGCACACAACGTGATGCAGCTGCAGAAGCTGTTCTCCAGGACAAGGGTGGAGAGTGGAATGGAATTTCTTTCGCTGCTCCCTGCTTCCCACAACAGTAGCAGAAGGCAACAACTGCTCCCGTCCCCTCCCCTACAGACCAGAACAACCCTCTGCTGCCTCCTCTAGGTCAGACCCTGCGCAATGGATGGCCCCATCGTTGGGCTTGCCATGCCACTTCCGACAGGTGCCAAGTGTACACCGCTGCGGCCAGAAAACCATAATTGACCAGCATACAATATCTTACAGGCAAGCGCCCTTCGCTGATGACGTGGATGGGTGTGAATCTGGTTTGTGGTGCAGGTTCATGACGAAATCCAGGGCTATGATTCAACGTACGCCCATCCGAATCGCTGTGTGGATGGATGTCCGTGGTTCAGCTGGGTTTGGTAGTCTACCTTGCGTTGCAAAAGCGTTTAGCTACTGAACAGTGTGGTTGCGTGGGTTGAATTCTCACCTCACCTCCTCCTTCCTGCTAGGTTTGGTAGTTTACCTTAAAGCTCAAGGCTCAAATTGCGGGCCGCGCGAGGCAAGTTTAGTAAGGTTGATCGAGTGCTGCTTTGCAGCTTTAGCTGGGCGAATTGTGGTTACGAAATGTACGAAGCCATCTGATTGGCCAGAACATTTGAGTCAGCGAATGGAACAGGTGGTGCGGGAAACTGGCAAGAGTAATATTTGTGCAATATGGGACTCGCGCAACCAAACCTGAGCGTCCCCTAGGCTTTGCTGAGTCAGCGAATTTTGTTTTGAGTGTGGCGAGAAGCTGGGCGAAACCAAACCCCTACACCCCTCAAACACCTCGACTTTCCTACTCTGCTTTCCCACCACCCAAGGGTCAACTTTAGTAATCCTGAACAATTTGGGCCTTGAGCTTTAAGGTTCCAATTTATATTGCGGATAAATAATGCAGTTGAGTAGGGTTCGAAGCACGCGACTTTCACCGAACCCCGTGTTCCTCCTTGGTTCAGATGGTAAGGTTGGATAGTTTACCTTGCGTTCGAAAAGGGTTTTGCAGATGAATATAGCGTTTGAGTAGGGTTTGAAGAACATGACGACTCAAACGGCTCCCTCTGTTCCTGAAACATGGACGCTTCGCACCGTATCGGAGGAAGACTTGGACGCAGGTGAGCAAAGGCAAACGGGCTCGGATGGAGAGACACCAAACAAGCCACAAACACTTCACGTCCACTGTCTCATGGGCAGCGGGAAACAGGGAAAGGTTGCCACTGTGGCAGCATTCGTGCAGCAAGCAACTTCGCTCAACGGGCCTTTCGAGTTCACGGCACATGGGACACGCCTGGTTAGCTGTCAGCCTCACAAATGCCACGTCCAGCAACTTCGCGACTGCGGGAATTTGGATAATTCGCCAGCCAAGAAAGCATTCCTTTGACAACAAAGAAGCAAAGTTCCCTCCAACTTGTTTCCAAGACATTCCCCAGTAGTCGTAGTCAGTCGTGTGCAATCGAAAGGAGATTACAGGAATGGTCAGAAGCATCATGGGCCGCAGCGTGCGTGGCCGTTCGCGGAACGAAAGTGATTCTCACGGAACTGGAACTGACGGCGTGAGCTGTGACTCCGATCGACGTCTTCATCGAACCAGCTGCACTGCAGGGTTACCTTTTCCGTCCATCTTCCGTCAGAGGGGTAACCATGGGAGTAGTAAGGTTGAGAGGGTACAGCCCGCCGTTAGAGATTGTTGCGAAAGATGTCCAAGCAGCGGCCATTTGTCCGAAAGACAAAGTGCAGCTGCTCCGAGTCGGACGGCTACAGAGGGTCCGACGACCCAGCATGAACAGATGCTGATCTCTCCGAGTCGACATGCGGAAAGCTTTCAACCAGAGGCGATAGCAGAGGGGGACCGTGCCACGAAAGCCGCGGCGGCGTGGCATGCGGCGATAACCCGCCGTCGTGCGACTTTAGGAAGCCACGCTGGCGCGGATCCCCGTCAACGTAGCGGCAGTTTCAAGGCCAACAGCATAAATGGTGCAGGGAGCGCCGCTAGTAGCTGCGGGAGTAGCTTCGGGAGCAGCAGTATGAGTCGCAGCGGCAGCACACTTACTAGTTGCAGCAGCAGCAGCAGCTTGGCGCGGTCCGACAGCGTGGGGTTCGGGCCGTCTCGGTTCGTGCTGCGGCAGCGGTACGAGGACATCGCGCTTCGGTACCTGGTGCACAAGGAGCAGCTGGGCACGGGCGAGTATGGCGCCGTCCGGCCATGCGTTGAAGCCGACTCTGGAAGGCTGCTGGCCTGCAAGACCATCAGCAAGCAACAGATCACGGTATTGCCTTCACGCAGCTTTCATGCCTCCCCCGTGTTCCCTGGTTCTCATTATTTCGTGACGTGAACCATCGATTTTCCACCACCATTGTTCAACCTGAATATGCAGATCCTCACCCGTTTGTTCTGCCTCTGATGTTCGACAGACGTACGAGGACGCTGAGGCCATCCGCACGGAGGTGGCGTGTCTGTGGGAGGTGAGGGGCCATCCGAGCATCATCAGTC